AAGAAATAAATATGAAAAAAAGAAATTTAGATAATTAGTCAAAGACAATTTCCATTAAAGAATACCATATGCATCTGTCAGAGAAAGAACACGAGTAAGAAATGGCTGAATTTGGATACAGATGGTTTTTACCGAATTTCTGCTTTTACTGTTAATAATAAAGGAAAATACCCAAACGTTGGAGAATTGGCCGAAAAAGGTGAGACCAAATTGCATGCATCTTAAAAGGCTCATTAAAAAATGTTTTTATAAATATTCACATCAGAGAAAAACATAAGGAAGAAGGATACGTTCTAATTCCGTTTAACGAAATGATATTAATAGTCCTCTCGACAGAAGAAACTATTATAACATTTAATACTAATAGAGTTACTACATTTAATGGCAATTCGTTCGCAAAGGTGGTAAATGTTTAATTTTTTTCAGAAGTATAACGAGATATAGATGAATTTCCTTTTAATCAATTTGATATACAACAAATCGCAGAAATAACCATGCAAAAAGTAAATGATTATGTTAAGGTTATACAGTGTCGGCGTTTGGATAAATACCGGACAAGTCGGAATTAGTCATAAGTGGATGAATAATTATATACTAATTAATTATACTAATTATAAGATAAAAATTAAGGTGGATTGAATTAAAACTACTCCTAGTAAAAATAAAGAAAAACGGGTTTTTTGTGTGTAATAATGTATAATATATGTATAAATATTTTGTATTGTTAAAAATAATAAATAAGTATTTACCTATATAAATTTTGTCTTTTTATTTAAAAAAAAAAACCCTTCCATTAAGATTATATAAATTTAGCATAATATTTAAAAGTAGTTGAAAGTGGGTAGCTGAAATTGTATTAAGGTTAATTTCAGATAATATCTGTTGCATAGTCAAAAAATGTTACCACCTACCTTCTCACTTGTTCTATATGATTATCAAATAATTATTCCTAAGTTTAATTTTGATCACTTATATACCCATTTCGTTCATTAAACGGGCTCAAATTTATACGTCTTCAATCAGAATTCTGCCATATTTTTCCCAAACTAAACTGAACATACATTAAATATTGCACAAGTTAATATTGAATGTCGTTTAAATTTAACGTTAGTTTCCATGTGTATTCCACATTTTCAAACCTTGTAAATGAACGGAAACTAATAATGTCACCATTCTTATTAATGACGAAACCCCCTTCTCATTCCACACAAAATATGTGATAATAACCTTTAATTGGTGAATGTGTATTAATGACGAATCAAACCGATTAACATCATTAGGCAATTAATTTACCACTTGATCAACTTTAGATTCACCAAGCGCGGAATAACCCAAACGTTGTGCGTATGCAATAATAGTTTCCATGATATTTACAATAACAAATATCAGCTTTTGTACAACGGAAACTAATAAATATACGTAATATCCAAATATAAAGGGTCCAAAACAATTTGTTACGTTACTCTTCAATATCAAAATTAAGTATTCATAAAGATTTATTCAAATTTTATGAAGATGTTTATATTTCAACTGAGCAATTAAATCAGTTGTTTTTCCTCAGCCATAATATCTAATTATGTTGTCGTATTAAAGAAATGAAATTGTATAATTGCTAATAAACACACTTTTAAGCCTTACTGTGAAAACGATAACCATTTGTAATCATTAAGACGATACACAGTATTATACGAATCGTAATAACTAAAACTTTTTCTTTTCAATCGGATTTTGATTCAGGGTGACACAAATGTAGAGAAAAATCAATTATTTAAACACTTAAAAAAAAAAAAAATTATTTGTTCACTTTTAAAATTTTCAGAATAGCAAATTTGTTAAACATATAAAAATATGAATGTATCATATAATTATATCTGATTAACAGTTTCTTTATATTAGCCGTTTTAATATCTAGAGAAAGGTTTGAAAACCGAAACTAACTCGTTCTGCGAAAGCCAACCACAGTCGTTATACAAAGTAAAAAAAAACATTTAAATCATTAAAAAACTAATGAACGGAAAAAGAAGTGTAATACATTGGAAATTTGGAATAAAAAATTTTACGAAAAGGCTATTTAAAGAATTTAAAAAAATTAATACAAATTTTAAAAAAAAAAATTATTTTTTTCAGAGATTTAGAAATGAAAATAAAAATATTATTTTCTTTACATTTGTATCCTCCTGACACAAAACCCGATTAATAACATATGTTAATAAAAAAATTAAATATTCACAGAATTATTAGCGTTCATAAAACCATACAAGACACTTCGTATATATTTGATAGCATATTAAAATACCTATACTATAATATAATAGATAATTTATGTAAAAAAAAAACGATTATATAAAAAAAAAACGATTATATAAAAAAAACTAATGTTATTGATGGATGTGCTACTGTTATATTTAAAAGAAAATTTGGGAAGGGAATAGATACAAACGTTTTTTAATTTTAATTTGTACGTTATGATAGAACAATGCTTACGAAAAACGATTTAGAGTGAAGGTCGATTATAAATGTTATGAAAAGCCGTAATTTTGAACAAGAAATAATATTAAACATTATATTAAAATAATGCTACATATAACTCATTTTTTGTTTCACATTTGTTATAAAAACTACTTGGAACATCAAAAAACGACTACTTACAAGAGAATATAGTTTGAAAATTTAACAAGGTTACTTATTGTTTTTTGATTTTAACAATATTTCCTGAACAAAACATAAATGTAAAAAATAAAAACAATGAAATAGGTAATATTTAGGCAATTTCGCAGTTTTTACGAAAATTTCTTTTCCGGTTTTTCCTAATTACTATGTAAGCCCCCTGAAAATCAATACATNCATCAAAAAACGACTACTTACAAGAGAATATAGTTTTAAAATTTAACAAGGTTACTTATTGTTTTTTGATTTTAACAATATTTCCTGTAGAAAACATAAATGTAAAAATTAAAAACAATGAAATAGGTAATGTTTAGGCAGTTTTTTCGGAAATTTCTTTTCCGGTTTTTCCTAATTACTATGTAAGCTCCCTGAAAATCAAAACATCATCTCCCTAAATCACTAACTAACTACAAAATCCTTTCAGATAGCATAATATCCTTGACACAACAAAACAAAATTTTTGATTGAGCTAAAGTTAGATTCAGTCATTTAATGGAATTTTGGTAGGAGGGGAGTAGTGGTGCACTAATAACAC